TGTCTCATCAAAATGTCTTCTCTTTTGAAAAAATCAACTTAATAAATCAATTCTAACATGTATGGATCAGGGCTGTCAAGGCCTGAGAGCAATTGCTTAGGTGCCCAGAATATAGAAGCCCTGAATTAAAGAATGTAAAACAATTAACAGGGAGAGATGCTGTCTTAGTCTGTTTCATGTTGCTATAACAGAAATACCCAAGAGTGGGTAATTTACAAAGAACAGAGGTTTATTTGTTTATGATTCTGGGACAGCTGCATCTGGTACAGGTCTCAGGCTGCTTCTATTCATGGCAGAAAGTGGCAGGCAGGCAGTGGGTACAAGCAGATCACACGGAGAGGGGAAGCAAGAGAGAGAGAGAAGGGAGATGCCAGTGTCTTTTAAACAACCAGCTCTCGCAGGAACTAACTAAGGAGAACTCAATCACTACCCCTCCTCCCCCAGGAAGAGCATTAATCCATTCATGAGGGATCCATCCCCATGACTCAAACAGCTTCCGGCACTGCCACATTGGGGATCAGATTGCCACATGAGTTTTGGTGGGGACAACACCTCCAAACTCCATCAGCATGTAAATTCTATTTCTATAAAGAAAGACTCTATCATTCCGCCCCTGGCTCCTAAAACTCATGTCACTCTCACATACAAAATACAATCATTTCATCCTAACAGTCCCTAAAGTCTTAGCTTGTTCCAGCATCAGCTTAAAAGTCCAAAGTCCAAAGTCTCATCTGAGACCAAAAGCAAAAGTCCTTCCAGCTGTGAACCTGTAAAAACAAAACCAAATTTATGTACTGCCAAGATACAATGGTGGAACAGACATTGGGAATACATTCCCATTCCAAAAGGGAGAAATAGGTGAAAAGAAAGGTGAAACAGGTCCCAAACAAGTCTGAAACCCAGCAGGGCAGACAGTGAGCTTTAAAGCTCCAAAATAATCTTCTTTGACTCCAACTCCTGCATCCTGGGCACAACGGAGTATCCAGGCCCCCAAAGCTTGGGTACCCTTGCTCCCACAGCTCTGTGAGGTACAGCCCATTGAGCTATGCTGGTACCTGTGGCTTTTCCAGGCCAGTGTTGCACGTTACCAGTGGCCCTGCAATTCTGGGGTCCTGGCAGCAGCCCTGCTGCCTTTGCTGTACTAGACATTTCCCTGGTGGGGGCTCTCTGTGGAGGCTCCAACCCCACTTTTCTGCTAGGCATTGCTCTAGTAGATGGCCTCTGTGATGGCTCTGCCCCTGTGGCAGGTCTCTGCCTGGACTTCCAGGCTTTTCCATATACCTTCTGGAATCTGGGTGGAGGCTGCCATGGCTCCACTGCTCTCATGTCCTACCAGCCCGCAGACCTAACACAACGTGGACAACAGTGAGGTTACAGGCTTCTACTCTCTGGAGCTGCTACAGGAACCACACTTGGGGCCACTTGAGACAGGGCTGCTCCAGCCAGAGCAGCTGAGATGCAAGGAGCTGGTTCCCAAGAGCAACTGGGCCCTGGGTCTGTCCTCCAGGACAACTCGGTCCTTCTATGCCTCAGGGTCTGTGATGTGAGGGGCACCCTTCCAGACTTCTGAAATGCCTTCAGGGTTTTTCTCTCATTGTCTTGGCTATTAGCATCTGGCAGCCTCACAGCCAAGCTAATGTCTTTAGCAGCCAGGTTATCTGCTTTAGTCTTTCATTTTTCTCTTGCTCTCAGCTTCTCTACCACATAGCCAGGCTGCAGATTTTCCAAATCTTTATGCTGTGCTTCCCTTTTAAATTGTGGCTTTCCATCATGCCTTTGCTGCCATAACTCAGAGTAGGCTGTTAAAAGTAACCATGCAGCCTCCTTAGTGATTTGCTGTTTAGAAATTTCTTCTGCCAAACATTCTGGTTCACAACTCTCACATCCCACCTTCCACAAAGTCCAAGGGCATGGACACAATGCAGCCAAGTTCCTCGCTATGGTGTAGTAAGGTTACATTTTGTCCAATTCCCAATAAGTTCCTCATTTCTATTTGAGACCTTATCATCTGCATGGTCTTTACTGTCCACATTTCTATCAACATTCTGGTCACAACCACTTACCCATTTAACGCTAAAATATTCCAAACATTCTCTCATATTTTTGCCTTTTTCTAAGTCCTCCAAATGCCTCCAACCTTTGCCGACTACCCAGTTCCAAAGCCGCTCCCACATTTTCAGGTATCTGTATAGCAATGTCCCCTTCCTCAGTATCAAATTTCTGTATTAGTCAGGGCTCTCCAGAGAGGCAGAATCAATAGGATACATTATAACTATGTGAGAGGGATTTTTTAGTGGAATTAGCTCACATGACTATGAAGAAAAGTCCCATGATAAGCCATCTGCTGGTAGCGTGGCTCAGTCCAAGTCCAAAGGCCTTAAAATCAGGGAAGCTGATGGTGTCCTTGGTGTAAGTCCTGGAACCCAAAAGCTGAAGAGTCTCAAACTCTGATGTCTACAGACAGAAGAGTGTATCACAGTTCCAGTGCATTGAGAGAGCTTCACCTCTTTCCTCTGTCTTTTGTTCTCTCTGGACGCCCAGCAGATTGGATGGTTCCCACCCACATTGAGGTTCCTCCTTAGTGATTTGCTGTTTAGAAATTTCTTCTGCCAAACATTCTGGTTCACAACTCTCACGTCCCACCTTCCACAAAGTCCAAGGGCATGGACACAATGCAGCCAAGTTCCTCGCTATGGTGTAGTAAGGTTACATTTTGTCCAATTCCCAATAAGTTCCTCATTTCTATTTGAGACCTTATCATCTGCATGGTCTTTACTGTCCACATTTCTATCAACATTCTGGTCACAACCACTTACCCATTTAACGCTAAAATATTCCAAACATTCTCTCATATTTTTGCCTTTTTCTAAGTCCTCCAAATGCCTCCAACCTTTGCCGACTACCCAGTTCCAAAGCCGCTCCCACATTTTCAGGTATCTGTATAGCAATGTCCCCTTCCTCAGTATCAAATTTCTGTATTAGTCAGGGCTCTCCAGAGAGGCAGAATCAATAGGATACATTATAACTATGTGAGAGGGATTTTTTAGTGGAATTAGCTCACATGACTATGAAGAAAAGTCCCATGATAAGCCATCTGCTGGTAGCGTGGCTCAGTCCAAGTCCAAAGGCCTTAAAATCAGGGAAGCTGATGGTGTCCTTGGTGTAAGTCCTGGAACCCAAAAGCTGAAGAGTCTCAAACTCTGATGTCTACAGACAGAAGAGTGTATCACAGTTCCAGTGCATTGAGAGAGCTTCACCTCTTTCCTCTGTCTTTTGTTCTCTCTGGACGCCCAGCAGATTGGATGGTTCCCACCCACATTGAGGTTGAGTCTTTCTCACCCACTCCACTCAGACTTTCATACTAATCTCTGCTGGAAACACCCTCATGGACTCAACTAAAAAAGGTAGCTTTACCAGGTTTCTCAGCATTCCTTCATCTAAAGAAGTTGACACCTAGAATTAACCTTCACAGATGCCAAGCCCTGTCTTTCTCCAAAAATTTTCTCCCTGATTTCTCTAAGTTTGCTCTTTTATCATGCTGGCCATTTATTCCAATCTAATTTCTCCTCTTTTCTAAGTTTTGCCTTCTTTTCTCTATCCCCATTTTTTGGAGGACTCATAGAATCTCCTTAGATCAGCACTGAACCAGGAAATCTGGTGTGAAATAGAAATCCACTGCCCTCTCTTCTGTTACCATGTTACAATCACCAGTCTGTCTAAACCCTCCAGAAACCTTGGTGGTATCATCAAACTCCCTTTTCCCTCAGTTCACTGTAGATGACTGGTTATATGAGTTTGAAATGTTTCTCAAATCTGTCCTATTTCTACTACTTAATTGCGGCCTCCAAGCTTCTCTTCAAAAATGAAATTATTTTCGAATTATCTCTTTCTTTTATTCTGTTTAATTGTCCAATGAAC